ATTTATGGCGCGTTACTGCGCGACGCGATTCCCCAAGACAGCGAGAATATTTTACACCGCGCTAATATAAACAGGCGGCCGGCCGGGTCCTTTTTATGGAGTTCCTGTAATTACCCGCGCCCTGACAGGTCCTTGATTTACGGCCCTATTTAGATAAGGGGTCCGGTGCGGGGATTGCCGGTGGCGTCAAGGTCATAAGACGCGGCGGGGAGAAGGTTTGCGGTAGGCGCCCCAGCGGAGCAGGCGCTCCGAGGCCTGCCAGTCCCTCGGGAGGGAGTGAGGGGAGAAGAGTTGCAAGGGCAGGAGAGGGACCCCGATGCCCGGGCTGCTGTCACTCCGGGGGTGGGGCTGAGACTTGAGTAAAGCCGGCCCACTCGACAGATGGGGGCATTGAGTGAGGGAGGCGGCAGGAACCGCCCTCCCCCCACCTGGTCTCCCCGAAACCCACAGCGAATGAAATGGAAGTGGATGGGATCTGGAACTGGAACCCAGGTCTCTGGCAACACCATCGCCACACCTGGCGATGCTCGGTGTCCCCCGCCGCCGGCCTGTGACGGCGGGGCTCTGTCAACTCAGCGGGGAGGAGGAGGCCTCTATGACGCCCGTGAAAGGCGCCGCTGGGGTGGGAACGGAGCACCGCACCCTCGCTACCCAGGGCGACGGCGTCCGCGGTGTGGAGGCCCAACGCCATTGCTTTCCCCCTGAAACTGATATTCCTAGGAACAGAGCCGCTCTATGTCCAGCTCACTCTGTCCTCGTGCTAAGAGCTTCACGTATATTATTCCCTCTCGTGTTAAGTAAGCCCTCTGGATGGGAGTTATCCTCCCACCCCCCAGTTTACGGAGGGGGAAACTGAGGATGGGGAAGTTCACGCCGGAGGAACGACAGTTTTGGGGGGGGGTTTCAGCCCAGCTGGGCCCCAGTCCACCACTGGGCTTCCCTAAGCACCCCTTTGGTGAAACTTTCAACCTCTGCTCGCTCAAGCTCACTAAAAGGTCAGAAGGGAGGGGGTTCTTACCGCCCCCCCCCCCAGCCTCGCCAGCACAGTGGGAGGAGGAAGTGTGCCTTTGAACGTGCTGAGTGCCAGACCTTCTAAAAGTGCTGTCCGGTGAACTCCCAGGGGCTCCCCAGGGGAGGCAGGGCCGGGGAGTGTGAGACTGGAGGGTAGAACCCCGGAGCTCCTGGTTGCTGGTCCTTGGTCTGCAGACCTGGGCCAGGGGGACTGCAGTCCTCCCCTGAGCCAAGAGCTAAATCCGTGTGTATGTGGTGGTGGGGGCGGGACCAGGCTGGGGAATTACAGAACCCCAGTCTATGGATCCTATCTCCTGAAAATGCAGAAGTGGAGGCTCTGAGAGGGAAAGGAACAGAGTGGGGTGCTAGGCAGGGCCTGAACTCTCTTGCTCCCAGCCCAAAGCCGTGTCTGTCAAACTCCTGGTTTCCAGACCTCCACTCCCCACCCCACCCCCAACCACACACACAAACACGCTGAGTAACCTGGGGCAGACAGGACACCCTCACAGGTCAAAATGCACCTGAGCCAGGCTAGAGTTAAAAGCGCCTTGGGTATACCTGCAGAATTAAGTTATTGCTGTTAAAACCTGGCCTTTTCATTTCACTAGTCTTTGAAGAGTCCAGATGCTTGGTAGATGTTCAATAAATTATTTTAAAATTGAATTTGTTCTTTTAACATCCTCATGAACATTTCTAGAAAGACTTCTTTCAGCAATAATGGAATCTTAGAAGTGTTTTTTTTTTTTAAGTTAGGGAACTCCACTGGAAATAATTTTAAACCCTAATTTACTGACATTGCAGTCAAGAGAAATGGCAGCAAAGTAAAATGTACACACATTTATAGTCAATGGCCCACTTTAGGAGGCTGGTGGTATCTGACACAGAAATTAGAGTAGTGAGCTTGGGGAAAAATTGTGGGGATTTGTAATAAATATTCTCTTTATACTGTTTCTCTCTGGGTCACGGTAAAACAATAAATTATCCTCTCTAGGTGAAAAAAGAAGCACCTTGGGGGTCTCCCAGAAGGCCAGGTCTGGAACCTCGGTGCCCCAGGGTCTGTGCAGGCACCTGAGCTCTCCCTGGCGTCAGTCCTGCAGGAGACCGCCCAGCCTGGAGTCCCAGCGGGTTCCCTAGGGCCTCGCTTTCAGAGCAGGCGCCACTCATCTGAAGACTTCCAATCGTTCACGATCTTTGTGGAAAGTGGGGGCAGGGGAGTACCCTGCTTTCTAACCACCCACAGATGTGGGGGCAGCGAGGAAGCGGGGTAATCTCAGGTCCTCAAGGGGTCTGGTGGAACTGGGACTCACCACCCAGTACCGATAATGCATTCCCCACCACACTAAGCAGGCTGGATATGGGGGTGGGGGGCGATGTGTTTCCCCCATGGGGAAAAGATTGGGACACGTGGGTGGGTACTGGAGCCTGAATTTGTGAGTATGTGGATAAATGTGTTTGCCTGAGTGAGTGTTCCTTATTCAGATGGGTGCTGTGATAATGCACATGCTATTGTCCAATTCATTTCATCCACGTGTGAATGTGACTCTAGAGATACGGCAGAATATATGTCACATGGACTGCGGGTTTGTGTGCCCGTGTGGAATGTGCAAACTTGTGGAAATGTCTACTTCTGAGCACCTGTGCAGGCACAGTAGCAGTCATGGCTAGGAACTTGCACGTGTTTGTGGGACTGAAGGCTTAGATGTGACGCTGAGAATATGCAAAGTACATGAGGCGGTTTTTGCATGTGTGTGCTGTGAGTACAATTGTGGGGAGTTGTAAGGAAATACACACTGGTTGTACCCGTGCACAGCTGTGGCACAAGATGAAGTGCAGAACTCTGCAGTGGTGTGATATTTATGTCGAATGTGTGTGCCTCTACTCTCCCGGAAGACAGTACCTTCTGCAGGCCCACACGTAGGCTTTGGAGTGGCTTAACGATGACACATCTGTATTGGGATGTGTGCCCTGTGGGCGGCGGGGGGATGAGGTGTAAAATCCCAGGAATGCGTGCATGTTCAAATGCTGTCTCGTGTGGTTGTACATGTGTTATCCTGAGAACACACACACTTTTGGGCATGTGAACATATGGACTCGGTGTACGTGGTGAGTTTGGGGAGCTGCTGTGCGTGTGTGATCGTGGCCACGTGTGCCACTCTGAGAGCCAGAGGGGGAAGACTGGGCCCGGATGAGGACAAAGGCTGGGTGTGTGTTCAGGGTTGAGGTCCTTCTCAACATAGTAATTACTTTCCCTATCCGACACTCGCTCAGGAGCGCCTCCAGGCTGGGGAGGTGCGGGACCCTGCAGAGTCACGGGGGAACTGGGCGCCAGGCGCTCCCTCCCCTTGAACCTCCCGCTCTGCTGGGCCCAACCCCAGCGCTGCTGGCGCCAGGCGCCCGGAGAGCGGCGGGTTTCCAGCTTGCCTCAGGCAGGAAACCAGGACCTCCCTTCCCCCATGCACCTCTAGGGCCCACAGGCCAGCCCAAGTCCCCTACAGGGGGCTGGCCAGCCCAGGACTAGGCATTTGTCTCTTCTCTCCTGTGGTGTCACCCCACTCTTTCCATTTACTCCCTTGTTCAGGAGAGAAAATGATACAGTATCCACTGGTTAGGGCACCCAAGGAAAATCATGCATCTTCTGTGGACTTCTTGTCTGGGTCTGTACAAGGAAAGAGTTGGCCTCTCTCCCTCTGCCTTTGGAATAAATGTGCTAGGCACATAGTGGCGTCAACAAATCATTCAACAAATGAGTGAAGGAACGAATTTGCCTCTAAAGAGAGCAGCCACATGTTGCTCTTCCCCGTCCTCACCTCCGCACGGCCCTGGAGAGCAGGGCACACTCCCCCTGCCCCTCCCAGGGAAGGGCGCTGGGCGAGACCGGTGAGGTGGAGGAACTCGGGTATGGGGGACATCCGGTAGGGAGCTACTGCCCTGGGAGGTAAGACAGGGAACCCCAGCCAGAAGCGCGGTCACCTGGGAATTTCGGGTCCCAAGAGAAGCCCAGGGAAAGCTCCCTTTGGAGAGATTCCGACAAGCAGGGAAGGGCCCCGGGCGGGAGGGGGGGGGGGGACAGCGGAGGTGCGGGAAGCCGGGACAAGGTCTCAGTGTCTTCTCTGCCCCGGCGGGGTGGGGGTGGGGGGGTGACATGCCTCCAGGTGCAAACCGAACCCAGCGGCGGTTCGGTTTTCCCACTAAGCGACCCTGGCGGCTAGTGTGGAGGTCGCGATACCCTCCGTCTGTGTTTTCCACCCACCGCTGGTTTTTCGAGGGGTGCGCTTAGGTGCCAGTGTCTTTAATAGAATCGAGCATTCTCAAGCGGCAACGACTCGGTGGAGCAGACCGGCGCGAGCCGCCCCGCGGGCCCATTGTCCGAGGCCCTCGGAGAGGAGGCTGCCTCGGCCGCGGCCGTCAGCCCGGGAGTATACAGGACGCGGCCGGAGTTGCAGGAGCTGCTCCCAGCCCAGCGGGATGGAGCCGACCGCCCAGGGCTAGGGGTGCCGGGGAAGAACGCACGAGAGCAGAGCCCTCTCATCTGCGGCCTCGGACGCCCAGTGGGAGCAATGGAGTTCGGGGCTGGGGACGGCGGCAACTCCTATTTTAAGTTCTGGAGGGTCTAGAATAAGAACCTTTCTTCCTCAGTTTCCCTGTGTGAAATTAGGTGGTGACTCTAGATTTCTTTCCTTGGTGCGGCGGAGGTGGCCATCGCCCTCTCGGGCGTTAACCGGTCTGTAGCCTCCGCCTCTGCCCTCCCCAGCTTGGAACACTGGGTGGGGGGAGGGGGGAGGCGGGGCCGTCTCCGGGTCCCTGCAGGCTGCCTCGAGGCAAGTGGCGCAAGCTGAGTTTAAAAACAGGGACGGCCACCCCCTTCCCCCTCCCCACCCCCCTGCCATTGGCTCCAGGGAGAGGTTGACATCAAAGCCGCGGCCTTATATAAGCCAGACCCTGAACGGGAGGCCGCAGAAGGGTTAAACTGGTCTCCCTGTGTCCGCCGGCCCGCCGGGATTTGGGAATCATCCTCGGGAATCGTCTTCAGGAATCGTCCTCCTCCTCCTCCGCATCTCCGCATCTTCGCTGCTGCCGCGTCTCGACTTACTCGCCGGGGACTGAGCCCGCAACCCGCAACGGAGCGGCGGAAAGTGGCAGGCTGTGCGTCTTTGCGTTAGCCTTGCCCCGGACTCGCCCAGAGCCCCGCGCGCTCATCTGAGCGCTGCCTCAGGGTGGCCCGGGTCCTCTCTGGGGTGCATGGGGCGGCACTGACGGCTTGGCGGTGCAAGCCCACTACTGCTCCAACATGAACATCGTGGGCGGCTACGCACACCACCACCACCACCACCATCACGCGCACCCCGCGCACCCTGTGCTCCACGATCCGTTCCTCTTCGGTCCGGCCTCGCGCTGTCACCAGGAGAGGCCCTATTTCCAGAGCTGGCTGCTGGGTCCCCCTGACGCCGCTCCGGACTTCCCCGTCGCTGGGCCACCGTCTGCAGCCGCGGTGGCCTCAACCTCTGCCCCTTACGGTCAGGACTCCAGTTCTGGCCAGAGCCCCGGGCATCTGGAGGCCCTCAGCGGCCGCCTGGGGCGGCGGAAAGGATCAGGACCCAAGAAAGAGCGAAAACGCACAGAGAGCATCAACAGCGCGTTTGCGGAGCTGCGCGAATGCATCCCTAACGTGCCGGCCGACACCAAGCTCTCCAAAATCAAGACTCTGCGCCTGGCCACCAGCTACATTGCATACCTGATGGACGTGCTGGCCAAGGACGCGCAGGCCGGCGACCCCGAGGCCTTCAAGGCAGAAATCAAGAAGGTCGATGGCGGTCGCGAGAGCAAGCGGAAAAGGGAGCTGGTAAGTTCTCGGGGCATGTAAGCTCCAGCCAAGGACGCGAGCGGCGAGCACCCGCGGTGAGCGCACAATGGAGGGAGTCTGCGTTGCCGTGCGCAAGGCTCTGAGAGGCTGTGGAGAGGTCTGAGATGGTCACAATGTGGGATCGTGTGCATGAGGGAGATTTATATTAATGTGGGATAGTGTTTGTGAGGCTGTGAATGAAGACGGAATTTTAACCTTTTCGGAAGGAGGGTCTTAGGGTACTTTATAAGAATCCACTGGAGGCTTGAAACCCCCAGAAAATGGCCACATCCTATGTTTCATTTTAAATTTCAAGGGGTCCTTAGCCATGCCTGGGCTCTCGCAGAATCCCGCTTAAGGATGCTGTGGGAATCCTGACTTTACTGTGCCTGAGTGTGGATTTATACACACAGATTCAGTTACGGTTTTCGAATAGTCTTTGCTGAAGAGGCTTGTCTACTTCTAACGTCGTTCAGCTGGGAAAACTGAGGCCCGAGCGGGGCGGGACATGAAGTCCACCTCCCCGCAGCGTCAGAGGTGCAGCTGGGGTGAAACAAGTCGGGGCTTCTCCTAGTCCAGAGTGCGGCGCACCGCGCGCCACTTCCTACGGTCTAGTTCCCCGGGCAACCTTGATGGTTTGGTGTGTCGGCACCAACCAGCGAGAGCCCGGGTCTCAACTCGCTTCTTCGGCTTTGGAGATCACAGTCTCTACTCGTCCTTTCTCGACCTCGAGAAAGCGTAGGCACCACTTTCTGAAGTCCGGTTCAGCTGGCCCAGGGCTGTGGAACCTCGGAGGGCGGAGATTTCCAGGCTGGAGAGAACTACTTTCTTTTGGTTACCGCGCTCCAGCGCGCTGCCTGTGGAAGTTAACTAGAGAGCCTCTTCGGGTTTGAGTGGAGCCGCACGGGCTGTTGTCAACTAGGGAAAGCTCACCGGGGGAGACTGGGAAAGGCGGATCGAGTCTTAAAACCACGGCTTTGCGCTAGAGGAGATGCAGACCCGCGGTGATGCCTAGGTGGAAGTTGTTATTGGGCGTATTCCCACTTTCTCCGCGTCTCAGCCTCTTTCAAGTAGCGCCACTTGGTTTCTCGAGAGCCGGGAAGGCGGATGCTAGGCCAGGCCGGGTGCCCTTCGCTTAGCCGCCTGCAGCTTCCCAGTGCGGGCTGGGGGAGAGAGGTCGGCCCAACATCCAAGCCCAAGAGCTTGGGAAGCCTGTGAAATGTGTGGGGGAGAGCAGGCCCCGGGCAGCGGGGAAATCCGTTGATCCCCACCCCTTCCATTACGACTCCTGCATTCTCTCTGGGGCGCCACCACGCCAAACCTAGGCGCATCAGTTTCACTAGATGTAAAAAGTTCTTGTTACCGAAACTCTAGCAACTGCCCCAGCCCATCCTGCCCTCAGAAACTCGGCACATACAGGCACATTTTATTAGCTTGTTTGCCTATTTCACAAAAAAGAAATCTGTCACTTGTTTAAAGGTTCCTAGTCACTGCTCCCGACACCTCCCCCCGCGCCCCCCCCACCCCATCCTACGCCCCAGTGACTGGAGCAGAAAGATTTAAACCTATCTCTCTCGCCTCTTTTCTTGTGTGTGTTCCCTGGCAGCAGCAGCATGAAGGCTTTCCTCCTGCCCTGGGCCCAGGCGAGAAGAGGATTAAAGGGCGCACAGGCTGGCCACAGCAAGTCTGGGCGCTGGAGTTAAACCAGTGAGCCGAGGCGCGCGGAGGACCCCGCCACCGCGGCCCACCCCGAGGCCCGGGAGGAGAGGAAGGTGGCCGGGAGTGCCAGCCTCTGGGTGCCAGGGGCTCATGGGGCGCTTTCTGCCGAGCCTCTGCTATGAGCTGGCAGGTCGCTGGCTGCAACAACACACTTGGATCGCACGTGCAATGTCATTTGAAATTGTTTTTAATACATTAAGAGAAATAGAAATATATATATATCCACCCCCACAACGGAGAGGGCGGCTCTTGGCGGAACTATGTGGGAGGGAGGGACTGCAGGACCTGAGTGGGCTAAGGCGCCAATTCCAACCCTTCTGGGGCGAACGTGGAGCCCCCGGCACCTTCCCCACCGTGCTGTCTGGTTCTCTTTCTCATCCCCTCTCTGCTTCCAGTCAAAACCCTCCGGCCGTCAGTCCCCTGATGAAAATGCAATAAGAGGAATCAGTAGGTTACCTGCCAAGGACAGAGGACCAGATCAGGGAGATGGAGGGCAGGGTTTTGTGGAACTCCCTCAGACAGTGGTGTTTTTATTTTTCATCGCTGCACTTCCTACTTAGTTCCAACGGAAACACTCCCCTCTTCTCTCCTTCCTTCTTTTTCTTTCTTTCTAAATAAAAGCTTTTCCCTACGTTGAAAAGTTTTTATGTATTTAAACTACCTACAGTGCCTGCTGCGCTCAGGTGTTTGGTGTTCGTTTGTACTCCCGTCCCCACCCTTCTTCTACCTCAAATCTACGTGACCACTCACCGCCCCACCCTTTGCCAAAGCAGTATCTATGCTCTTGACTAATAAAACCTTTTCTGAAATTGGAGGGCGCCCGTGTGATGTCTTGATGGGTATCTGTCCTTGGCTTCATTGTTTCTGCTGGGTAGAGAGCCTCTTGGTCCCCCTTTCTTTTGATAAATGCCAAACCAAATTGCAAATCAAGTCAAGGGGAGGGGACAGATAAAGGACTTATTCCTGGAATGAGGAACAAAGTTCCCCTTAGAATATAAAGGTGGGACAACCCACTGAAAGGAAAACTGGAAAGCAGTCCCAGATTATCGCGCTAGAATTTAGGTGGGTCGAGGTTCCGGCGGGCCTATCTCCGGGCTATGCACACGGTGTCTACAGGGCAGTGGGCCGGGGTTATCGGGAAAGGGCGTCACCCCAAGGGCAGTGTAGCTGGGACGAGAGCGGTGTGCTCCAGAGTACGGCGTTCCCGCATATGCAATGGTGAACTCAGAGCTGTGGTCATAGGAACTCTGACGCAGCCCGGTGCCGGGGCCAACGAGGGTCTGCTTAGCACAGCTTCCAGCACGCAGGAAGGACTGGAACAGTCGTGAATGCTTATGGTTAGGTCGAGGCATTTAGGTTCCTCTCTAGCAATGACACACTCAACAATCAAATGCGACGGCCCGTGGATTTGTGCTTAGGGGTGGGGTATTGTATGCTAATTCTGTCACTTGTACCGGGGAGCGGTCTTTGCGCTCCCACGTGTGCACCCAGGGCTGGGCGTGGGGGTGAGTAAAAGCGGGCGCATTAGCTAAGCAGTGGCGCGCGCTGGACTAAACTGGGCGGGCAAATGAAGGCGTTTTGGTGTCCCTGAATAATAGACTACAGACAACTAGTTTCGCTTGCACGCAACTCTGGGCTAGGCATTGCGCTATGTGTTTGTATGCCTCTGCACAGCCCCCACGATCGCCTGAGGGTCGCGCGGTCTGCAGTGCTCGTACAGGTCTCCGGCGCTCCCTCCGAGGGAAAACGAAGGATACGCGCGGCATACGGCGGCTTTCGAGCTCCGAGCTCCGTCCCCGGCGCCGAGGACCCTCGGCTTGGGACCGAGAAAGGAGACCCCCTGGCAGCTCCGGGGCCAGGCGTGTCCAGGTGCCCCGTCCTGGCACGAGGGTGAATATGGGGCCCCATTAGTCTTGGCTGTAAATACCGTGGCAGGGGCCGAGGGGCCACTCGGGCCTTTCCGGACACGAAGGAGTTAATAAAAGGTGTTTTATGGACGTGAGGAAACGGTGGGGGAGGTGTGAGCTTCCCTCCACTCCTACCCCCCTACTTTTTTCTTTTTTCCCTCTCGCCACCCGCCTCCAGATCAAACAGGCCGGTGATTTAACTAGGGCAACACCTCGCGGTAATGAGCGGTCCTGGCACACCCCTCCCCCCGCCTCAGTTCCCAGCCCCAGGCCCCAAGGCCCCTCGGGCCGGAGCAGAAAAGGAAAATCGAGTTGTTTGGGTCCCCCCCCCCACCCCGCCCCTCTTTCTTTCCAAGAGCTAGCAAGCCCCTTAGAAATTCTGGTGCAAACAGGGACCCTGAAACTCAGGGAGCAAGCTGGCTTATCGAGGTGCCCCAGCCCAGAGGGGGCCTTCCTGGGATTCGAACCCAGAACCCCAGCTTGGTTTACAGACCATCCTCTGTCTGCACACAGAGCGTGGGGGGACTATTTTTAGCACCTGAAGTATCCTAGGCACGGGAAGAATGCGCACCAGGTTCGCTTTCTTGTATCCCCGGCCAGCGAAAGGAGAGAGGGTACCGAGGGGCACCGCCTGCGCATCCAGAGCCACGTTCGGCCTCACTAGGCCTGGTCAGAAACCGCACGCCCCCAACCCCAGCCGGGGCCCAGACCCCCACTGAGCGGGTGGAGGCTGGAATTCAGCCCCAGCCACCTCCCGTCCCAATCTCAGACTTAGGACCTGGGAGCTGGACGGGCTGTGCCCAGGGAGGGGTCACCGGGATGTCCTCCCACTTTCCCCAAGCCTCATGGGGCGGGGGGAGGGCACTTAGAATGCCAGGGCCACACTCCCAGCCCCCACTTCCCCGGCTGGAAAAGCGGAACCCCTGGGGAGGACCGGCCGCTCCAGGATTCACAAACCCGTCTGTGCGGGGTCTCCTGGCGCTCTCGCCGCCGCCGCCGGCTTTCGAGCCTCTCACCCGCCCACAGTCTCCCCGTGCTGGGAACCCGCTTCCCAGCCTGGCCCTGGCGTTTGCTCTCTTGTTCTCGCCCAGGGTCCCGCGCGGTGTGTCCGAAGCCTGCCTCACCCCGGCCGTGGCAGAAGCAGTGCCGTTATTATTATTTTAAAAAGCATTACCTGTTTGTTTTTTTTTTAATTTAAGTCTAGGGGGAAAACGGAGTGGTCACGAACTTAAAAGTAAATTCCAGGAATTTCTCGTAAGGAACTACTACTCCTTGGTGTTACAAACCTTTCACTGCAGGACCTGTCTGCTAAAGGAGTGGAAACTAGGAAAGGGCCCAGATGTGCTATAATTACAGAATTGTGACTGGTTCAAGGCACCCGTCAGGACCGTGGGTTACCGCACAGCCTCTGGACGAAGACGTGAACGTTGACGTGGAGGTTGTGCCCGATGCATGAAGTGGGAGGGACCCCCCCCCCCCGCCCCCGTCACTCCTGAAGGCCGTGCTTCCCGACCTACCTGCTTTCCGTAAAAATAAGTGAGCCAACGGGCCCACATCATCCACGGAGGACAAGTGGAAGAATATATATCAAGACGTTTACACCTCTACCTCTGAGTGGTAGGAATAAGGGTAGTTTTGACTTTTCCTCCTACTTATATTTTTCTACATTTTTCAACAATGAGTATTACTTTTACAATAAAAAAAATTAAGCTGCAATTTCCTTTTAATTTCTCCCACAGCCAGTGTACCCTCAGTACACTGTTTAGTGAATACACATTAATTGAGTGCCCACCTAATTTGTAGCCACAGTGCCTAGCTGTGGGCATAAATACAGTGAGCAAGAAAGAATCCATATAATCACCGCCAATTAACATACGATAGTAAATGTTTGTCTTGAAGAGCTGGCTATTCCTTCTACACAGTAAACACTGTCTTTTTCTCACGCTGAAAATCTATTAATACATGAAGTAATAACAGCTAGAATTTGTTAACGGGAATTATGCAAACCCTTGGCATGCATTATTATTTCATTTACGCCTCAGGAGGATTCTTTCTTTGAAACCGGATGAGGATAGTATGAGGTTAATGCTGAGGGGGCTGAGGCTCAGGAGGCGAAGGACTGTGTTCAAGGTCACAGAGACGCCAACGGCTGATGGAGCTTGGACTGAAGGGCGGGTCTGGCGGTCTCCAGGGACGGGCTTTCCCCCACGTTGCAGAGCACCTCCAGGGTGTGGCTGTGTGCGCAAACACAGCCCCTTGGTCTGCTTTTCCTCGGCGAAGGACCGTAGAGGCAGAAGCAAGGGTGGGGGGGGGGCAGGTAAAGGGATCCTGGCCTCTCCCTCTAGCCTGCACCTGGAGCCCACCTCCCCCAGCCGGTCCCCAGGCGGAGCGGACCCCGTCTGCCCCTCCCCCTCCACGTTCCTTCCCGCCTGTAACACTGACTCCAGGGAATCGACGCTCGGCCAGGGAAACGCTCAGCCTGCTCCTCTCCGAGCCAGCCTCGGATGACTGTGCAGCGCATTCACCTTTTCGTGGTACTTTCACTTTTCTACGCACATTTTCCTCCCCAGAAACTAGAAGGAAGAAGGGAAGGGAGGATGGCTCCTCGTGGACGGAAGGAGAAGGGAAAACCCAGAGAGATGCAGTGACCAGCTCAGGGTCACACAAGCCGGCGGAGGGATCAGGCGGCGGCCCGGAGACTGCGGTGCGGGGCCAGGACTCCCTTGGAAAAGGCCGTGGACCCTTTCTTTTCACGCAACCAGCAGCTAAGCTTATGGTCTTACTGAATCCTCATAAAAGAAACGAAACTAAGAAATCAGCCAATCTCATTTTTAAATGAAAAGTGACTGGGAAGAAAAAATATGCAGGCTCTAAAGTGTCTGAAACCAGCCTCCTGATTTAAACCTAATTTGTTTGAAAAAAAAATTTTTTTTAGCTGAGAGAGTTTTTACAGCTGAGCTCTCCCAAACCCATAAAAAACAAGGTTTATATGGGAAATAGTGAAACACTCTTAACTATAATACACAGCGTCTAATGTAAGCGGACATGGACACTATATAAAGCTCCTACAAATGTTATTAAAACAAACAGAAATACACATTCATCCCCACAGAATGGACAATGGAAGGCATCGGACTTTCGAGGAGTTCTAGAATTCTTATGTTCACTGGGATGTTAAAGGCACCCCACAACACTGGGGCTTCAAAGATCCTTACTCACCACCCAAACATTTCCCTCATTTTGCAGAAGGGGAAACTGAGGCCCCAAGGGGGGAGGGCCTTGCCCAAGGTCACACGGGGTGGGGGGGGTGTCGTCTTCTTTTCCCTTTGTCTACCTAACACCTTTGACTTCCAGGGCAGGATAAAGAACAGGGCAGTGGCTGAGGGACCCTGCACAAGTCTCTGAGCCTCAGTTTCCTCATCTACAAAATGGGAGAGATCGCCGCCTCAGCTCCCCGGGGTCTGGGAAGACTGAATGTGACAAGGTGTGCAAAAGACTCAGCACGCACTGTCTGTCCACCGCGGAGCTGCTTTTCTTACTTTATTTCATCCTCACAATCACCTTGTGAAGCATTAAGGATGTACCTCGGTTTGTTTCTTCACTTGTTCTGGAAAGGTAGGACATAGTTCTGACAGGCCCGGAAGGCTGAGGTGACCTACCCAAGGGCCCACAGCCAGTGAGTGGCTTCCCGGTTCAGAGCCCTCGCCTTCCAAGGCATTAAGGTGAACTGAGGGGCGGGCGGCGGCAGCAGCAGCTAGGTCTCTGAAACCAGGTGAGACAGCACCATACAGCAGAAACGCAGTGCCAGCCGCAGACGCGAGCTACGTGCGTCATTGCAACTTTTTTAGTGGCCACGTTAAGAAGGTAAAGAGAAACAGGTGAGATTAAATTTAACA